CAGAGTGGTTGTATCATTTTACAATCCCATCATTAATGTATAAGTGTATCTATCTCGCCACATCCTCTCCAACATTTATTATTTGCTGTCCTGTTAAACTTTGCCACTGCTGCTGGAGTGAGATGGTATCTCATTGTAATTTGATTTGCTTCTCTCTTAGTTGCCAGATGTCCAACCACAATCGAATGGACAGAGAAATTATGGTACATTCACACAATAGAATTTTATGCAGCACACAGGAGCAATGATTTTGTAAATTACTACCTAGCTTGGGAGGGACTACAGAGTATTATGCTGAGTGAACTAACTCAGTCCGATAAGGACAAATACTGTTATGAAATCATTATTGTAGAACATGTTTGATGATCCAAGGGGGTGGAGGGTGGAAGCAGAGGGGTGAGGATGGGCGGCGGGGAGTCAATCGTAGGGTCACACAATTTGATGGGTGGGGATGAAGTGAAGGAAATAGGAAGGATCTGGTGTGAAAAACAACGTATTTGAACTTTGTAAATGAATCAGTATAAAATAGAATAAATACTTAAAAAAAACCCCAACAACCCAATGAGTTGTAAAAGCATGAGTCTTCTCCCAGTGTGGGAGGGAGTCAAGAGAAGAAGGAAAAGGGGCCAGCAGGCAAGGGCAGTGCATGGACTAGATGCCCCCAGGCCCTGCAGCGCTGCCCACTTCCTGCTCAAGAGTCTGCCTGCACCCCACCCAGCCCTCAAGCAGGCAGGACGGCTGTGTTAGTGGACAGTGGGCAGCAGTGCACACAGGCATTTCCTGAGTGCAAGGACACAGAAGGCAGGTCCGGCTCACCCTGTCCCTGGCATGTGGCAGCAGGGACAAGGCCTGCTCCCTCCTGCAGAGCTGAGAGTGGCCTGGGCTGGGGTGGATCCACTCAGGAGGTGTGGAAGGTCGCACAGTCCTTCACCTCAGCCACAAATGGTGAGCGCCCAAACACTGGCCATAAAGACACGGACGCAAACCCACTCAGGCTGCTCGGGAGGAAGGCCCGGTGGTCCACTCGCAGAAGGCCTTGAGAATGCTGGACCTCCCGCTTCCACTCTTCACAAGTGGGGTCCCAGAGTGGGAGCTGACTGCAGTGGCCCCTCAGTCTGTTTGTTTGGGCCCACGGTGATGTCAGATTTGGGGGAGGACCAGGGAGGGACAACAGCTGTCATATCAGGGCTCGTATCTGGGAGGTGGGGGAGGCCAGTCACCCCTGCAGAAGCAGCTGCTCCCAGCTTGGGACAACAACCCATGCTGGTGACTAAGGGAGCCTCACATGTGACCCCCAGGCTGCCTGCGCCCTGGCTCCCAGGCAGGGTGTTTGGGAGGAGCCAACCTCCCCACTTCCACGGAGGGTGTTGTCAGGACATTCTGTCCTCTTTCTAAGCTTCTTTGGAAAGTCTCTGGGTTTTAAGGACAATGAGCCTATTGTGAAGCAACAGGCTTGTTTTTGTCTCCTGGACATCACATTTCCCTTTTTGCCCTGGCTACTAGGAAGCTCAAAGGTATCGACAGACACACACACACACACACACACCCCCCCCCAGTGTTTTATGACAGGATCTATATATTCATCCTGCTTCTATTGCTTTTCTACCACTCATCTTCTGTGCTCAGATTCACCCCCCTCCTTTCTACCACGTTCTTGGTCCTGGTATGTCGTTATTAGGGGCCATTGAGTTGGCTATGGGCACAGTGACCTGTGAACCACAGACCTGAGCTCTGTCCTGTCCCGTGCCATCTCACAGTCTCCAGCACGCTCCAGACCACTGTTACAGTCACTGCGTCGATTCCACTTGTTGAATGTTGTCCTCTCTTTCACTGGTCCTCTTCCACCTTTCCAAGCATGGGGTCTTTTTCCAAGGACTGGTCCTTCCGGGTAACATCGCCAAAGTATGTGATACCAAGTCTCACCGTCCCTGCCTCTACAGACCTTACTGGTCGCACTTGTCCTAAACAGACTTGTTTGTTCTCTTGTCAGTCATGAGACATTCAGTATTCTTTGTCAACACCAAACTCAAAGGCATCAGTTTTTCTTTGGTCATCTTACTCATTGCCCAACTTTCAGATGGATAGAAAGTAACTGAAAAGACCTTAGTTTGGGCCAGGTGCACTTTAGTCTTTAAACTGACACTGTTGCTCTTTAGCACTGTGGAGAGGTCCCTGAGAGCAGGTTTTCCCAACACACCACGTCTTTTGAGTCCTCGGCTGCTATTCCTAGTGAGCTTTCGATGTTTGAGGGAGAAGAATAAGGGGAGGAAATATGAACGAATGAGCTGTGGGCACAAACATTGTCTTTCAGCATTTGTTAAAACAGCTGAGAGGATCGAGGAGAGAGGGTGTGGTGCTGGGAGTGGAGGATACCGCGGCCCCAGGCAGAAGGAGAATTGGGACTCCTGAACCCATCACAGAGGCCACCTGCCTCCTGCAAGTGTGGGACCCCTGACCCCACCACAGACTGGCCTCTGGCAAGTCCTAAGACACAGAGGGGCCTCTGGCTGCAGAACACCACCTGGGGGACGCTACCCAGATCTCTGGGAGGGGCTGGGGAGCAGGTACCACCGGCTGGGCAGCCCCACAGGGCACCTGGATTGCAGGATGGGAACAGCAGGGGACACTGCTCCCACCAACTCGACCACCTGGATCCTCACAGCTGGAGGCAGCCCCTTCCTGGCCTCAGGGGTGGGGGTGATACGTAGACAGGGGCCGATGGCTGCAGGGGTGGAGGACTGATATCATCGGGGTTGGAGGATTGATACCATGCGTGTCGGACGACTGATGTCTGGGGCTCTGAGAACTGATGTCACAGGGAGTTTCTGAGAACTGTCATCATGGGGGTGTGAGGTTTGATGTCATAGGAGGGGGTCTGAGAACTGGTATCTTGGGGTTCTGAGAACTGACGTCACAGGAGGGTGTGAGAACTGTTATCAAGGGGAATCTCAGGATTAAGTTCATGGGGGGGGTGCATGTCAGGTCTGATGGTCACACTGTGGCTCTCAGGGCAGAACGCTCACCTCTAGGTGGACTGCCCACCCATTTCCAGAGGGAACAAAGGTGCCCGTGGACCTTCTTGAAACCAGGAGCTCACTGCCCATTGCCTTGAGTCTCAGCCTCCCCCTGTGCTGTCAGCTCAGGCCATAAACCAATCAAGCATTCCTGGATACCCTGTAGTCCAGAGGATTTTACAGGATTATTGTCAGACACAGACAGGCAGGCCTTTCCTCCTATTCTCTCAGGAAGCTCTGCTGGCATTTGAAATACCCATGTCACAGCTTCCAGCATCGCAGAAACTCCACAGCACAGCAGAGTGGAGGCCAGAAGTGGACACAAATAGCCATTTGGCTATGAAGGTGGCCACTAAGGGAGCATCGTCTCCAGGAAAGAGTGTGTCCCGAGCGGCCGACAGGTCTGTGCCCCAGCCCCACCATCCACTGCGAAATAAGTGTCCTGAGCCTCGTTCTGCTATAGCTGTTGTCAGGTGACACCCCCCACCCCCCCGCCCCGGTACAGAAGAAGGAAGCTCTGCTGTTGACCCCTCACTTTTCCAAACGTGATGTCCTTCTCTAGGGACTGGCCCTCCCGACAGTGCCCAAGTCCAGGAGATGAAGTCTGTTTCCAAGCAGCACCCTGGGCATAGTTTCTCCAGGCCTCCTGAAGGGACCCGGATCACCCTCAAGTCCTCCAGGGACAAAGTCAAGTAACATTAACAGCTGACCTGTCCCTGAGTAGCCCAGACTCGGGGGCAGCAGGCCTTACTGTGTATAGGCCGTAGAGCGCTGTGCCAGCCTGGTCTGCAGCAGTCAGCCCTGGGCACCTCCTGCCCCCTCCCCGAGACTGTTTCCTCCTGAGTAAACGAAGGGGTGACGGGCCTTCACAGGACAGCAGTGTTCTGCTGCCTGGAGAGGTTCCCCCTCTGTCCGGGCTGGGCCTCCACAGACACCAATGTCCTGAGCAGGTGGTGTGTGTGATGGTCCCTGCGTGTCCACAGAGAGGATGCAGGCATCACCAGACACCCTCTGCTCTCGCCTGCATCTTGTTGGGACTGACAAGGTGGACTGCACGCACAGGGAGCCTGTTTGATACACTGTGTCACATTCCCAGCAGTGAAGGGTCCCCTGAGCAGATAGCAGGCAGGCTCCGCTGAAGGGATGCCTAGTTTCCTGGGATTGTTCCGGATGCCATGAGGGGCCAGGAGCCTCCGGACTGGAGGAAGGAGGGCCTGAGGGGAGTGGAGAGCTCCCTGTCTACCTGTGTCCACCCCTCCCTGACCTCAGCCCCCGCCCCATGTCCATTCCATAGCTCATCGCAGCACATGCGCACTTGAAACCTTCTTCAAGTTCAGCTCCAGAGAGGGCGAGGGTCTGCTTCCTCCCTGGCCTGTGGCTTGGTCACTGGGCTAGAGACCATGGTGATCAGCCTGTGAGACCTTAAGGCAGGACTCTGGGTTCCTAACAGCAGTCACCCCGCAGCTCTAACTGAAAGGTTGGCCTTTCAAATCTATGAGGTGCTCCCCGGCAGAACGAGTGGCAGGGCTGCCTCAGCCTCTGAAGCCCTGGTGGGCAGGTTTCCTGTGCGCTGCAGGGCCGCCTGGTGACCGGGTGATGTGCTGTGACCGACAGTGGGGTTGGGGGACCTGCAGGCCACCAGGCTGACCCGGCCCCTGCACTGGGTGCCGGCCTAACTGGAAGCTGAAAGGCTGAGACCGGACCCTGGGAATTCACAGGAGCGAGAGCCCAAAGTGCACCTTCCCAACGCATCGGGCAGGAGCAATCTGTGCGCGACGGGACGTTTCCAGGAGGCCGGTCCCTAGAGGCGGCGCGAATTAGCAGAGCCCCAGGGCCGGGGAGCTGCGCCTGGCCCGCCCCGAGGACCTGGGATGCCAGAGCGGGGGAGGGGAGGCCACCCGCTGGGGACGAGGAGGGGGGAGCTGGTCCTGACTGGGTTCCCGCGAGGAGGGGCCCCGTCGCTTGCGCAGGCTCCCCCTCCCGAAGGGCCTCGCTGCGGGGACCCTGCGCTTCGTCGCCCCCGCTTCCGGGAAGGCCGCCGGCCGGGGCGGGGCTGCAGGGCCGAGCCGCCCCTTCCAGGGAGGAGGGCAGTCCCCCGCCTTTAAGCAGCCCGCCACCACCCGCCGCCCGCACAGCGTCCTCCCGCACACCGTCCG